AAAATAAAAATTTGGGGGGAAATGTTACTGTGCCATTGCCAGAGCCAGCCAGCCTGATCATTTTTTCCTTCTTGTAGTCAGTTTGCTTTTTACCCGAATGCTTAAAGTATTCTTTCTTTATCCTTAAAGTTGGATAACTTAACTTGGATACTTATAGCTGTCAAGTGTCCCTTAATAATGCAGTGTGCTTCTCCATCTAAAGACTTTTTTTTTTTTTGGAACCATCTTTATTAAATCATCTGGCCCTGGGGCACCTGTAAGCATCTGCCTTTGGCTCAGGTCATGATTCTGGAGTCCCAGGATGGAGTCCAGGAGCCCTACATCGGGCTCCCTGCTCATCTGGGAATCTGCTTCTCCCTCTGCCCCTCATCCCGCTTGTGCTTGCTCGCTTTCTCTCTTTCAAATAAATAAATAAAAACTTTAGAAAAAATAAATCTTCTGCCCATTTTGGGGACACTTTGCATGTAGGACACAAATTATCCTCATGTTAGATCTTTTCTATCTTCTGTTTCTGTGGGCTTCTCTGTGTTTCTTTAATTTCCTTTTCTTCAACTGCATGTACTGTGATCATCTTAAGCTTTTCTCTTTAGTTAATTGTCAGGGGTGTCTCTTCTATTCCTTGCTATTTGTAATTTAGTGTATGGTGGTGTTTGAACCTTCAATTTATATTTTTAAGTCTAATGTTCTCTGTTTTCTTTCTTTTGTTTCTGTTTACTCTGTTCTTGATGAGGTCTTATTTTTAATTAGTATATATACAGTTCATACAGATAAAAAATTTCTTGCTATTTTTTAAAAATATTTATTTATTTGAGAAAGAGAGAGTTGGGGGGAGGGGCAGAGAGAGAGTGAGAGAGAAACTTCTGCAGACTCTTTGGCCCAGCAAGGCACCCAACCTGGGGCTGATCCTAGGACACTAAGATCAGGACCTGAGCCAAAACCAAGAGTCGGATTCCTAACAGACTTCGCCACCCAGACGCCCCTCTTGCTATTCATTTAAATATGTATTCTTGTAGATCATTTTCTTTATCAATCTCTGCATGGTTTCTTCCTTCCTTGACTCTCCCCCTTTTTTTTTTCATTTTCATTGTTAAGTGCACTGAACCATTGTTCTGCTTTTCACAATTTCAAGTAATAGTCCACCCCTTTGAGGAATACTCTCAATTTTGGGTCCTTTCCCAATGGGAAATTAGACTCAGAGGGAAAGCGATGACCAAGAATAGGGGGGAAAAGAAAAAGTATCCCACAATCGGTAACATTCAGATTTCCTTCAATTCAGAGATATGTAGGTTCTTCAATAAGATTTCAGGGTGATGGTGTGTTTAGGTGCCAAGCCATCCTCTACTTCTCCTCTGTGCTCCAAAATCTTCTGCTTCCCTCCTTGACATCAGGTTTTGAAGTTTATTACCTTACATTATCTTTGATTGTTGCCAATTATTAGTCATTTTTTGGAAGAGGATTTAAAAAAATAAAAACTTATTTGGGAGACTTTTGTTAAGAAGTAGGGAAAGGAAAATCTGTAGGATGGTCTTAATTCCCCCCTTTTAACTTAAAAGGCCATTACTCAGACAAACCATAAGAGACTCTTAATCTCACAAAATAAACTGAGGGTTGCCGGGAGCAGGGGGGTAGGGAGAGGGTGCTTGGGTTATGGACATTGGGGAAGGTATGTGCTATGGTGAGTGATGTGAAGTGTGTAAACCTGACGATTCACAGACCTGTACCCCTAGAGTAATAATACATTATATGTTAATTTTTTTAAAGGCCATTACTCTCCACTTAGTCATGTTTATATTTAAAAGCAGGTCACAGGAAGAGGGAAATAATTTTCAGAAGGAAAAAACCCAAATGTTTTGAGCTAGACAAAATCTCAGAAATCATCTACTTCTCAAGTTCACAGAGCCAGTTAATGACTGAGCTGGGACTACCTAAAGGTTTCCCGGTATTTTTTTTTTTTTTTTTTCCCGTTTTCCTCTGTCTCACGAATGGGTAGAATTCTAGACATCAGAGAGGGAGAGAGAGAGAGAGACACACACACAGAGTAGTTTTCAAGCTTGTGACTTTCCTTCTCTACTTCTAATCATACTATATGCCTCTGAGACTTTGTTAAAGGCACCCTGTTGGCCCAGAAATTGGGGCTGTAACAATAACATTTAAAAAAGTACACACTGGATAAAGACTAGGGGAAAAGTGTTAGAAGTTTTCTTTTCCCTCTTCTCTCTAGTTTCAAAAAAGAAAGCCTCAACCAACCAAACAACCAACCAACCAAAAAAAAAAAAAAAATGCCACCAGAGGTATAAATCATTTTAGGGTATGAAACATTGTACAAGTGAGGAGTTTGATTTTCTGGGATGCGTCACCTCAAGTGCCATGACATAATGAGAACTGAGAAATGGTCCCTGTGAGAATTGTATTATGAGTATATGCCTTGGATTTTAATGTTGCCACTTGGAAAATGACTTCAAAAAAAATTAAAGGAAGATAGTTTAGTAGGAAATGTAAAAACACAATCTTGCCTTGAATGTTATTACTCCCCAAAGGGTCAGACCTATTCATGATCAGTGATGCATCTCAGATTGTACCCCATCTATTACAATAGACCTTTCCTCTTCTAAAAGGACAGCTATAAAACTGTCCCCAAACTTATTGGTCACTATCCACTGTCAAAACCAGGGGATTAAATATTTCTTAAGCTTCCCAGAAATGCAGAGTCCTAGGGCTTAAAGAGATTTTTGATCTTTGTTCTACAATGAGGACCTTAATTGTTCTGACTTAGGGACATCCAGAAATTAAACTTGACCCCTTGCTGCAAGAAAAAGACAGAAAGGAAGTAAAGTATTTTGTCAAAGTCCGTTGGGTATCAAAAGCTTAGAATTCATAAAGAATCTAGAATTGTTCATGTGGTAATATACTTCACATGAGGGAATTAAACAATGATGGAAGTCTTTAGGTTCAGAAACATAAAACACAGGAGCAAGTGACTGACCCCTTGCACCCAAAAGGCCGCAGAGCATCATGGGAAAGAGGATAGGCTCTAAGATACTGACTTGGGGAAGTTATTTAATTATAAGCCCCAGTTGCTCATCTGTAAAGTACAGGTCATAATTGTAAGTATTCATAAGTTTATTACAAAGACTAAACAGGGTAATATGTGTAAAATGCTTGACTTAGATAAAGTACCCAATGAAAGTTTTCTGATATTATTTTTCCCTGGAGACTAGAGTTCACATTGCTTTAACTCTTGATTATATTTCTTGCAAGGACCAGTCCAGCAATTTCTTATATCTTGCTCTTGTAAATATTAACAAAGGGAAACCTCTCTAAGGTGGAATCAGGTGGCTAGAAGGGGAAGCCTTACCATTCTGTGTTGGTTACAGGAAGAATTGTCAATTATAGACCCCAACAGAAGAATCACCAACAAGAAAGAACCATTAATTATAAGCCTCAACAGAGAAAGATGTACATAGTATCTCCTAGGAGAAATTAACTATCTCTGCAACTCAGCCAATGAGAAATCATCATCACTCTGAACTCTTGCTCTTCCCCAGCAAACTTTTGGTCAAAACAACCCTTCCCAGCTTCCTCCTCCTTTCCCATAAAATAATGTTTCAGAAACTACTTCTGTCCTACTTTTGGATCCCCTGTTTAGGGTAGGATTATCCTAACTTCCAGCTCCTGAATGTCTAGCCAATCAGACCATTCCACCCCCCCTTAACAGGCTGATTAGTTTAAGACTGGGCAGATGACCCAAATAAGGACAATGAGGTGAAATCCTGGGGCTTTTGCTAGATCTGTTGGGAAAGCAAGAACTGCTAACCTATTAGAGTATAAGTCTAGAAGTACCAGAGGTTACCATAGGGAAAAGCCTGCCTGAAAATGGAATCGACACAGAGGAATGCAGAACTGAGAGGAGACAGTTCTTTAATAGGATGTTTGAGTTCCTGGGTCCATCTACAACCGTAGACACATATATATGCAAACTTTACAGTTTTATAAGCCAAAGAAAGTCTTTTTTCCTTGCTTAAGTCGGTTTGGATTGAGTTTCGGCCATTGTACTTGAAATCCTGATAAATAATCCTATCTGGGAAGAATTATGAATCAGGCAGTGCAATCTAATTGCTCAATTTCCCCCCCCATATTCCCCCCCACCTTGTATTTACTGTCTTTATGCTTTGGTCTTCCTGTTTATTTTCTCATGGGAAAGAATCTGAAAATGTTTGTGCTTGATGCTACAGGGTGCATTTGTGTTGTTGTGTTATTTTTCTTAGATATTGACATTTGAAGCCTCACATTTAGTTCTACAATGAAAGGCTTTGTTCTGTTAAAGGACTTTAGTTTTAGACAAGTAGGTGTGTCAAAATTAAAAGAAACATTGAAAATGTATCAACCAAATAATGTGTAACTCTTATTTGGATTCTAAATCAAACCAATAGTTTTTAAAATAAACAGTGATACAATCAGGGGAAACTGAACATTGGCTGGATATTTGTTATTCAGAAATAATTGTTAAAATATTTGTGTGTAATAATGCTAATGTGATTTTTAAAGAGTTTCTATCTTCTGAAGATAAGCATATAAACGTTTTTGGATGGAAAGATACAATATCTGAAATTTGCTTCAAAATATTCCAGTAGGAAAAAAAAATTCCAGTAGGAAAAGGGTGAGAGGAGAAGAGGTACAGATGAAACACGATTTGAGATAAGTTAATAATGGTTGAAGCTGGGGTGATGGGTTGAGCATGGGGTTCACTATCCTATTTTAACTTAAGTTTGAAAGTTCCCAGAAATTTTTCAAAGTAATAAGTAGAAACGGCCAAGTATGCTATTTGTCTACCCAGAACCTATGCTCTCCTTCTCCCTTACAAACAGAACCCCTATATGGTTGAGGATGCAATGTAACTGTCTAAATAAAAAAAAAAAAAAAATTAATAATTTTTTTTCTTTTAATCTACTTTGCAGATGTGAATGGCCTGTGGAAAGCAGAGAGAAGCCACTGGGTGTGGCTTCCAAAAAAACTTTTTAAAGATGGTGGCTCAGCTGGTAAGCGAACCTGTTACCCTTGCCTCTTCTTTCTGCTGCCGTAGACCGAGATCTGAGGAAGGAACTAGGGGTCATCTTGCATCACAGGAAATCCCAAGGCCAGAATGCATGATGCTACGGATGGTGTGGTCAAAAGAAAGAAGGAATCTGGATAGTTGATGACTGTGGAGTTGCCACGCCAGCTTGGGGATACTTTCTTTTTTTTTTCCCCCAACAGGGAGAATTAACCCTTTTTCTTAGTTTAAATTTGTATTTGCCCTTACAGAGGCTCTAAACTCTAGGAAGAGAAGGTCTCTGTCTTTAAGCTCACAAACTGGAGGGATTTTTTGAATTTTCTGGGGTGGTTTTTAGAATATTAGGGCGTGAACCCCACTTCCAGGGTGCCTGATTTCAAAGACTTGGGGTCCAGCGTAGGCATTGGAATTTGTAAAAGCTGTCCCTGGTGATTCTAACGTTGCCACCAGCCTGGACACCTACTGTTAGAGCTCACCATTTGATTCCCGGAGCGCGCGAGCCCCGGCCGGCCTGCAGCCGAGACTGGACGAGTGACCAGGATCATCCGAGACCGCCTGGACTGGGAGGAGCTGTGGGCTCCCGCAGACTTGCGCGTCAATCCCCCCCCAGCCCCGCCTTTTTCCCCGCCCCGCTGTGGCCCTTGAGGGCGCCGGAACTCCAGCAGCCCGCGTTCCGGGAGCGCCGAGGTGCGCCTGCGCGGCGCGGGGGCCCGGCGGGCACTTTGAATTTCGCTCCGGGAGTCTCTTATCCCGGGCTTCCGAGGCTGGAGTCTCGGCGGCTGGCGATCCTGTAGAGAGTGGCGCTTTGCTCCCGGACCCGCGGCAGGTTGGAATCTGAAGTTGGGGATCCTGCCCTTGGAGGCCGGCGGAGGCATTGTTTGGGTAGAATGGGGGCGCGGGGCCGCCAGGCCGAGCCGAGGGACTGCGCTCTTCTACCCCACCGCTCGGCTGGCTGGAGCTTTAGATCTGTCCTACCCTCGGAATGAATAACTGACTCCTTTCCTTCCCCTCCCTCTGCCTCTGTATCAGCTCCAAACCGTAAAGCTCCAGTCCCCCGCAGCCTGGGAGAAATGCTCACTTGGACTCGTTTCTTTGCCCTTACTGTGTGCTTTCTTTTTAATTCATGTGTATTTTACATTTTTAAAGAAAATTTCAGAGTTGTCTTTATATATAAGTCGTGCATTTGTCCCCCTGAGTCCCCTGTACCTTGGTTTGGGATGCATTGATTACAGAAGGCTCAAAGACAAGTCAGTATTGGACTCTAGTTAAAAACTGAATTTTGTAGAATTGGAAGAAATTGAGTTTTTGCACTTTCTTTTCAAGATATGATTTACTGGATCACATCTGTGGTCCACTTACTGGATCACATTACTGGATCAATACTGGTAAATGCCAGTATTGGATTCTGAAAATAAACAGAAACTTGTCCTTTCTGTCTTTGTAAATGTTTATTTCTTTATTTTTTCTTCAGAGGCTTAAAGGATGGCCTCCTCAGATCTGGAACAATTATGCTCTCATATTAATGAAAAGATTAGCAATATTAAAAGAACTCTGTCACTAAGAAACTGTGGTAAGTAGAACAGATTCCACTGACATAGATGTAAAATGCATTTTAATTATTGTTCCACTTTGAATATCCCAAGCCTGGTTAAGTGAAAGGTAATTTTAACTTTCAAACAGTGGTTTTTTTGAAGCGCTCCAGCATTAATAGTTTGAATATAGCAGAGTACTAAAACGTAAGTTATATTGAACAATGACCTGAATATTAATTAGACTTAATGGCTTGTGTTTTTCTGAGATACACAAGATACAATAGGAAGATTTGAAGGTTATCTGGCATTTGTGGTGGTAAAGCTAGAGATACTGAAATGTAAGGGATAAAAATAGAAGTGGAAAAGACCCACAGGGGTAAAAATAGCCCATTATCCATCTAGCAGCTTGCTTTGCAGGAAGCTGATCTTTATATATGACTAGGAAACAACTGATTGAAAATGTCCAGTTTTTTAATGTCCAGAAGCTTGGAGGTTGTAACCATCTTCCAGAATATTCAGAAGTGCTGAAAGAGGATGAGGCAATGACAGTGCAAAGAAATGGGTGATCCTTGTCAAGTCTGGGAAAATACTGTTTACAAAAATTGTGAGCTCCCGAGTCTATACTAGGAGAGCTTAAGATTTATTTATAGGCAGAATTCTATTTGCTGGGAAAATTGTGGTGAATTTCACTGTAGTTTGTACAATGAATTGATAATTTAAGACATTTTTAAAAATATGAAATTATAATGTTTTTAAAGAGTTTCTATAGCTCAGGTCATGATCTCAGGGTCCTGGGATCGAGCCCCACATTGTGCTCTCTGCTCAGAGGGGAGTCTGCTTCCCCCCACCCCTCTACCTGCCTCTCTGCCTACTTGTGATCTCTGTCAAATAAATAAAATCTTTAAAAATAAATAAATAAATAAATAAGCTATGGAATAGCTTATTTAGACAAATCATTCTCTCCACATACAAATGATAGTTAGTGTGTAGTGATCTAATAGGTCACATTGCTTCGGCAAACCTCATGCTTTGGTGGGGTCATTTGAATTCAAGGTTTAGTTGTTTTAGAGGTCTCTAAATTTTATCTCTTTATCCTACAGTAATCATGCCCCCTAGAAAGAGAAGACTTTTGTATTCTTCATTTCTTGTCGAGAACCTTCAGTAAAGGAACATCACCCATTGTACAATTTACGGCTTACTTTCTCTGTAGAAAGTGCAAGCTGAGGGGACTGTGGGTTCTACTCCTCCAGCTCTCTCATTTCACACATGACTCTCAGAAGTCAAGTCACTTGCCGAGCTCCCTAGCTCATGGTGGTCCGTTGGGACTACCATTTTGTATCCTGATTCCCAGTCTAGTATTCTTTCTACTTCTGTGCCACTTTTATTGAATAACCCAAAAAGGACATCTAGATTTTTAATGTCTCTCTTTCTAGGGGGCATGATTACTCTCTAAATTTTATTTAGAGACCTCTAAAACAACTAAACCTTGAATTCAAATGACCCCACCAAAGCATGAGGTTTGCCGAAGCAATGTGACCTATTAGATCACTACACACTAACTATCATTTGTATGTGGAGAGAATGATTTGTCTAAATAAGCTATTCCATAGCTTATTTATTTATTTATTTATTTTTAAAGATTTTATTTATTTGACAGAGACCACAAGTAGGCAGAGAGGCAGGTAGAGGGGTGGGGGGAAGCAGACTCCCCTCCGAGCAGAGAGCACAATGTGGGGCTCGATCCCAGGACCCTGAGATCATGACCTGAGCTGAAGGCAGAGGCTTAACCCACTGAGCCATCCAGGCGCCCCTCCATAGCTCATGTAATAGAGCTCACTCTGTTTGCCCTTATCTGTTTGCCACTCTAGCTGTAGTAAGTTACTAAATCAGTAGACACGGCCCTAAAATGAGGCGACTAAAAGTTATTTGAAATGCAAGTGTGTCCAAACTAGTTATTTAACTCCCTGAAATTAATCTTGATAGAGACACCTGTACTCTTACTTACTTACTAATTTCTTTTAGTCGTTATGAACCTACTGTCAAATGTGATTAACATTGATATTAGATATGAATTATTAGATATTAGATAATGATATGATTATGATATGATAATGATAATGATATTAGATAAGAATTGTATATTGCTTGTCATGTTGATGAGGAATAGTAGTTAGCATTTACTGAGTGTTTTACTAGATTCCAGGCACAATGTTCAACCTATCTTATATATATGTTGTTGCTTATCTTCACAGTAACCTTGAGGTAGGGGCCGGTGTCTCTGACTTTAGGTCTTAGACCTTCTGGCCATTTCACACTACAGCCTCCAGAATCTACAGATATGGTCGAATTGTGCTTTTCTTTATTTTTTTCCTCATCTCCCTAACAGTTTCTTTACTTACTTACATTTCATTGGTTATTAGAAGTAAAGATGGAAATACTTGATTATGAGGATATTTTTTCTTTTGTGCTTTTGATCTCATAAAAATTTTTTTTATTACTACTTTTATTTCTAGGGAGGAGGAGACTCTGGTTTTCCCATTCTCAAATCTATGGAACTAAAGAGGGGTGCTGGAGGGGGTGTTGGGAGTATGAGAGCATGCTACTTTATAAACGCCTGATGTTTGTTTCTGTCAAAAACTCCAGGCTTATGACTAGCCTGTGACTTTTATGTTACTTTTTCTGTTTAATATGAATCTCAAACCCAAGTGCATCCCAAGCCACTACTACAAATTATAAAGAGAAACTCTCCCCCATCTTCCACATACCCTTGAGAGCCAGTCCAAAACAAAAGCTTCTCTCTCTGGCCAGTGACAGAATTTTGAGGAATGCAATTTCACTGAAGGTTTACCCCATGAATGAGTCTCCCTTGGGATTCTTACTTCCAACACCCTGTGCTTTGAGTTATCAAAGCCTTGGTTCTTGACCCCATTAAAACCAAGTGTGTTGGGTTGCTGAGACTGGTAAACTCCTCTCTCCAGGTTTCCTCTGCACACCCAGTTGGGGCTGCTGTAGCATCAGCTCCCCCATATTGCCTGTCTGTGGGTGTGTCTTCATGCCGAAGCCATTGGAGATTTATCTTATTCTCAAGAAAGCTCAACTGTAGAAGGGTTGAGGGTAGAAGGGTTTTTTGTGTTTTTTTTTTAAATTTTTTTTATTTTTTTTTATTTTTTTTTTTAGATTTTATTTACTTATTTGACAGATAGAGATCACAAGTAGGCAGAGAGGCAGGCAGAGAGAGGAAGGGAAGCAGGCTCCCTGCCGAGCAGAAAGCCCGACGCGGGGCTCAATCCCAGGACCCTGGGATCACGACCTGAGCCGAAGGCAGAGGCTTTAACCCACTGAGCCACCCAGGTGCCCCTGTGGTTTTTTTTTTTTTTTTAATCCAACATTTCTAGGTGTTTTATTATAGTCGAGGACTTTGCCAAAATCAAGGGACTCAGGGGACACTTTGTACTTACCTCTCTCTTCCTTCACTACCATATTACTTAGAAATGAGGTCTTAAGATTATCCATGGAGGGCGCCAGGGTGGCTCAGTGGGTTAAAGCCTCTGCCTTCAGCTCAGGTCATGATCCCAGGGTCCTGGGATCAAGCCCTGCATCTGGCTCTCTGCTCAGCAGGGAGTCTGCTTCCCTTCCTCTCTCTCTGCCTGCCTCTCTGCCTACTTGTGATCTCTGTCTGTCAAATAAATAAATAAAATCTTAAAAAAAAAAAAAAAAGATTATCCATGGAGACAAGTTCTAGAACCTGAAACAGTAGTCCTTTCTCCTCCCCACAAGTGTCTCTCTAAGGTAAAGCTCTGGCCCAAGAGTTTAATTGGGTACGATTGAGAAGAATACAGTGTGCTAATACTTTTCTGTATACTTGATTTTTCATTATCTCTTTGTCTACTAATAGGTCAGGAACCTGCCTTGAGGACTATGTTAGATAAAATAGGAGATGAGATCATTGTAGTAAATGAACTTCTAAATAAATTGGAATTGGAGATTGAGTATCAAGAACAAACCAACCATTCACTCAAGGTAATGTTTTTCTAATGAAGAAACGAAAGGGCAATAAATACAAACTGCCTAATCCCCAGGGAATTCTGAAGGATTCTTTACATTCCAAATGTTCTTAGCTGTAAATTATTATTAATGGTATACACTGTATCTTCTTAGTATAAAGGACTCCAGAGCTCCTCAGGTGTTTGTTTCTTTATGTTGGTAGCCAGTGAAATTGAACTGTACTGAAAAGGAAGATTTCCTAAATAAATCTTGGTAGCATTAATTTAAACGAAGGATCTGATAGAGTGATGTGGAAGGAACACCTAGCCTGGGGTGAGGAGATGCAGATTCTCGCCCTGGCTGCCCTCAGCACCCTCTGCCACCCTGAGAAAGCCCTTTTACCTCTTTGGGTCTTGTGGTCAACCTTTGGAAAATAATGGGTCATACTGAACTATTTCTTAGGTCCCTTCTATTTTACATTTCTCTGTTCTATAAAGCGTGATATAAGGATTCTCAAGTACAGAAAAATTTGAGTCTCATTCACACCCCATTTTGTTTTAAATAAGCTTTCTAACTGACTAAGCTAATGAAAGTGCTTGTGTACTTCTGGGAAAATACACAACCTATACATAGTTACCTTGTGCTGTTGGAGCTGTTGGTGGGTTCCCTGAGATTGAATGAGGTGGCCTCTATGGTCCCTTTCAGCCTTATAATCCTTAATTTTTTTCATTTAAAATAATCCACTTTTCAACTATAGGAATGGGCATGAATCCTACTACTGTTGAAATGAAATTAGTGGCTGTGAATATCATTCAGCTCTTAGAAAGAAAGATGTCTTATAAATTCAAAACAGAAACCAATAGTGGTTTCAGTTCTAACCTATCCAGGAGTGCCCAGAGTTAAGTGTGGGCCTAGAGAATGTTACGTTCAGAATTGAAGGCTATTGAGAATTTTCGTTCATCTTACGATTGAGAATCAGAAGACGGCAATCCAAAGGTGTTGAGTATTTTTCTTATTAAATTTGCATGAGTTCATAGCCTCAAGTTCTAGTGAAAGGTAAAGACAAAACAAAAGCAAAGCAGTCATAACCCAGTGGAAATTTCCATTAAGCCAGGGTATGTGGGTGTCAGCGATGCTGGTGGTTCTGAGGAGCGTCTCGGACGTGTGCTCCAGCCACGCACCATCCTCCTGGCGCTGCTGTACAGATAACACCGGGGAATGTTTGTTAAGTCGACAAAAGCAATTTACCAGAATGACAAACGAAAATCCTTCACGCATTTTTTAGTTGCTCTCCAAGGTGACATGTCAGCCCTCCCTGCTGTAATGTGATTATAACAGTTGTTCTCTGAAAACCAGTAGAGAAAGCTACTGTATTGCCATCCAGAACCAGCTCTGGAAACCAGAGGGTTTTTAAAAAAATATTGCTATAGTCAGTGCTTTCCCATCTCCTCTGTGTTCTGAACACTCCCAGTCATTGTCGTTGCGGTTGTGATTGTGCTCTTTACAATGTCTTAAAACACACACAGGTGGGACAGACGCTTACTTGGGAGCATTTTTTTTTTTTTTTTTTTTTTTAATTTTAGGAACTCTGTGAATCCCTTGAAGAGGATTATAAAGACGTGGAGCATCTCAAAGAAAACATTCCTCCCCATTTGCCTCAAGTAACAGCAAGCCAGAACTTGTAAGCGTATTTATAATTATTCTTGCTATCTGCATTTATCAAACTCTTCAACACCTCAGCTCTTTGCTTTCTTATGGACTTGTGGTTTTGTTAGTGTTTGTTAATTTTCTTGACATTTACCCTAGAAATAGTTATCCTGCTGCCTCCGCAGAAATCGTCGCGCCCCTTTCCCATGGGCAAGCATCCCTGAGGCTCTCTTTCCCACTTTGTCTCGTTTCTTTACCTCAGACCAGAGTTTGTCAACCTCGGCCATCTTAAGCCAGATGATTCCTTGTTGTGAGGACAGTGAGGAGGTTCAGTAGCATGCCTGATCTCCGTCTACCAACTACATGTCAGGGGCAACCCCCATCCCCCCACCCGCACCCATGCCCAGTTGTGACAATGAAAAAATGTCTCCTCACATTGCCATGTGTCCTCTGGGGGACAGACTCTCCCCGATCCTTGAGAACCACTGTCTTAGGGCAAAAATAAGCTTAATGAAGTTCCCATCTTAAAAACAGCCAAAGGAACAAAACACTTAGCTTTGCTTCCCTCCCCCACAACTAGTGTCCCCTGTGTGTCCCCCACCAGTATGTGTTTGCGCCTCCCCTTTTCCCCAGAGCCCCTCCACCTGTCCCTGGGCTGCTAGTACCACCACACTTAGGAAGCTGACCCAGAAATTCCCCTGCAGCCCTGATCCTTCTTTCCAGATTGTATTTCGCTGTCTCTTTGTTTCTGAAACTCTGTGTTCTGCTCTGCCCCAGTGCTCCGTTGTCATCCCACATCTCTGACTTGGCTGCCTCCCATTTCTCTGCCCTCCTTTAAATTACTGGCATCTCCTAAGGCTGTGTTTGGCTCACGCTTCCCTTCCACCACAGTCAGTGCTCTCAAATGTCCCAACTCCAGCCTTGACGTGACCTCTGCTGCTTGCCAGGAGCCTAGCACATGAGCTGTTCCCTCCAGCTCTGCATGTCTGAGGCCAAACCAACCAGTTCCTTGTTACCAACCCATCATGCCTGCTGTCTTCCTCCCATCCGCTGGACAGGAGCTGGGTACCTTCTGCCTGTCTTTCTCTCTGTAGCCCTCAGCCATGCACACTGCCTCTGGGGGGCTTGTCTGTCCCAGCCCTCCCTTGTGTTCTCATCAGCTGGCTCTGAGTGCGATCTCCCATCATCACGTGTCTCTGTGATTTGAGAGCTCCTGTGCTTTGTCCTTCCGTGGTTCTACTGCTCCCCCTCTCCAGGCATCTGCCACCAAAGTTACATTTCTAAAAGGGGGTTCCAAGGGTGTAAAAACATACCATGCGTAATATAAACATTTTTAACTTCTGAAATGTATCATATATATCCAGAAAAGTGACTAACCATTATTTGTGCAAATTGAAGAAGAATTAAACAAACATCGGTGTATCTAACTTTCAGATTAAGAAATACGATATTACCTGTACCTTACAACCCTTCTTCTCTTGCAGACCTTTCCTTTATCAAAGAGGTAGCCATCCTGCTGTTTGTGATAATCATACTCTTGCATATGTGTTTCTATAAACATGATGCTGCTTAAATTTGAAAAACTGAAAGGAAGGCATGAGCCTTGCCGTGTGGGAGATGAGCCACATTACTGCGGATGGTTGAAGTTCTCTAGAAAAAGATAAGCTCCAGAGTGCCTGGCATGGTCAGGCTCCCCTGCAGTTTCCCTGCACGAAGAGAAAGTGGTGGGCAAGGTCATGAATGAAAGCTCAGAGCAGAGGTCATCACAGGACATCTGCCAGGATTGTGCCGTGGGCTGGACATCAGACATCCAGCAGGAATATGGCTTGGGGAATAGGAGGAATTTTCTTCTCCTGACCTCACTGTGGCTTAGTTCCAGCTTTCAGCCAAGGTTATAGCAGAACCTTTCTGTGTAGCTTGAAATGGTTCTTTTCAGCTGACAGTCACAGCAGAGCATGAAGGAAAAAATCAGGAGTTTCCTTAGCATCTGGTGAAGACAAGCAAGTACAGCCAACAGTCAGCCAGGCTCACCATGAAGTCTCATGTTAACACTCATGGAAGGTTGATGGTACCATAGCATTGGCCATCTTCATCTTGACAACCGACAGTATGTCCATCTGCAGTCATGGCGCCTCAGTCGGGCCTGGTTGCCTCATGTCTGGTGCTCAGCTGTCATCTTGGGGTCTCACCTTCCTGTGTTTCTGGGATTCCCCTCACTTGCTCTTGGGTTGGATCTGCTCTGTCTCCTGTCTCCCATTTCTTTTTTGGAGCAGTCGAGCCAGCATGGCTTCACTTGCTGCTGCCGACAAAGGTCTGTTCCTTCCCTGGCAGCTAAATCACCCAGAGCTACAGCCTATTTCTAGACTCTTAGCTAGTGGGGTAGGAGCTATATTAGGCTTCTCACTGACTCTAAAAATTAGGTAGGACTGAATCCAAAAGTTCCATGCTCATTGCTGGCAACTAAAATGAATCTGCAACAGGCAGAGACTGATACTAGCAACCAGTGGGATAAACTAGAAAAATAGAAGTATAAGAAGATTAATGTTTCTATGTTCAGAATTACGGAGTCAGGAGGAGAAGCTGTTTAGAGGTTAAGATAAATTCGACTTGACACATACTGACTTTGAGAAGCCAGTGGGATAACTGATGAAGACGTTTAGCCTAGGTACAGCATACACCCATGTTTTGGGTGTGTAAATATAATTCTACTACTAAAGATTTGGGACTTCTTTTTTCAGTGTTCTCTTCACTATTCAGATCTTCATGAACAATAGGAGAAGGGGCAGCAAGAAAATTTTGGATAGGGGCGCCTGGGTGGCTCAGTGGGTTGAGGCCTCTGCCTTCGGCTCAGGTCATGATCTCAGGGTCCTGGGTTCAAGCCCCACATTGGGCTCTCTGCTCGGCGGGGAGCCTGCTTCCTCCTTTTTCTCTGCCTGCCTCTCTGCCTACTTGTGATCTCTGTCTGTCAAATAAATGAATAAAATCTTTAAAAAAATTTTTTTGGCTATACAATTATAATAAGATGAATCTTGTATTTGTTAGCGGATTGTTTTCAGTTGGGAAAACTTCCTAGTGTGCTGTGAAATTCTGATGATCGCTTGTACCTCTGTGCATCTCTGTCTGCAGTGCTAATGTCTCAGATCTTGACCCTGAGGAACCAGTCAAAGTTGAGGAAACCGCAGCCACAAAGAAGCCCCCAAAAGAACAAAGAAGTATAAAAGAAATGCCGTTTATAACTTCTGATGAATTTAATGGCATTCCAGCGTAAGTATTTAAGATAAAATTTTAACGTTCAACTCTTTAGGTCAACATACGTGATTGTTTACATCCTAAAGCCTGATTATATTCACAGCGTGCTGTGTTCAAATATTGATCTTTTCTCAACTAGTCTTACCTCAGACAATGAAAATGCAGGAAATCTTTAGTTGAAGATGCTTAAAATCGTGGTTTTTATTTGGTCTAGAGCTCTTCAGAGCAAGATCTAGAGATGGGTCAGGGTATTGCTGAGTCCTCTCCAGGACCGTTTTGTGGTCCAGATTTATCCAGTTACATTTTAAAAGTAACTGTTTTGGGGTGTCTGGGTGGCTCAGTTGGTTAAGTGTCCATATCTTGTTTTCGGCTCAGGTCATGATCTCAGGGTTGTGAGATCAAGCCCTGCGTCAGGCTCCACACTTAGCTTCAAGTCTGCTTGTCCCTCTCCCTCTTCCCACTTGTGCTCTCTTGCACTCCCTCTCTCAAATAAATAAACAAAATCTTAAAAAAGAAAAAAGTAGCTTCAATTTTGGTGTAATTTTAAGGAACGTGTGCGGTATAGCTTTGAGAATTAGAATGGCAAATGTTGTGTGTGTTTGGTTTCCATTTGTTCTTCAACTTATGCCACACATATGTTTGAGTGTGTGTTCTGTTCCGGCCTGTGGGTCACTGAGAACAGTGCAGGGGTGAGTAAGACAAAATTCCTTCCCTGGAAGGAGGTCTGCTTTGCTCTTTATAGAAGACAGTAATGGAGAGCCCATGATGGAAACTCCTGTTTGTTTGTTTAAAGATTTATTTATTTATTTTAGAGGGGTGGGGGAGAGAGAAAGATCCAGACTCCCCACTGAGCACAGAGCCCCATGCAGGGCTCCACGTGGGGCTTAATCTCATGACCCTGAGATCACAGCCTTAACCGACTGAGCCACCCAAGTGCCCCTGGAAACTCGTGTTTTTAAACGCTCATCGTTCCAGGGCTTTGCTTAACTTCTTGGCTTTATATTGTTGCATATCGTATTATGCTTTCATTTTACAAATAACAGCTTGTTAGAAAATGTCAGAAAAAAATTTACCTGTCGTTCTACCACCCAGATAAGATGGAGTATTTCCTTTCAGATTTTAATTTCGCATGTATAATAGGTTGTTTCTGATTGTCATTACAACAATGTAGTTATACTGTTAATAGAGTTTACTTGCTCTTTTTTTATGAGCATTTTGCCATTGTTAACTATTATTGTAAACTTGGATTTATTAGTTGTGTTAGATTTCCTTAAAATAAGACTGACCTTTCTCTTTAATCTTTTTTTTTTTTTTTTTTTGGTCAGTCATTTATTTTATGATAGCTTTATTTTCATGAAAATTCTGTTTGATGCTATTCAATTTTTTAAACTGTTATTTTTGTTGCTCATTGGCTGAGCTAAAGAAAGAACCAAATGTTTGTGAGGAACAGCGGAGTAGATGGGCTTTTATAAAATGCTTCCGTGAAGAGACGAAGGAAATTAGGATAGTCATGGTAGAGTATTCATTTTTAAACTAAGGGGGGTTATTTACTGACTGAGAGAACTTAGATGATTGGGGTAAGGAAGAACGTATTCCAAGCATTGGGCTTTTCTTTATTTTATCTTTAAAACATTAATACTGAGAGTAGAGTTAAGATTGAGAACATTGACAGAGGTGGGGGTGGGCACTGAGGAAATTAAGATAATAGTTCAGAGGATTTAAAGGAATTGCTTTGTGGGGAGCTATAGGATCAACAGTTTGTAGGAATTATAGTTACAAACAACAGAAGCAAAAATGAATACAGAAAAGAAGAGAATAGGGGCTCGTGGGTAGCTCAGTTGGTTAAGGCTCTGCCTTTGGCTCAGGTCATGTTGTTGGGGTCCTGGGATCGAGTTCCACATCAGGCTCCCTGTGCAGGGGAAGTCTGCTTCTCCTTCTCCCTCTGCCTGCCACTCCCCCTGCTTGTAGGTGCGCGCTCAGCTCTCTCTCCCTCTCTCAAATAAATAAAATTCTTAAATAAAAGAAAAGAAGAGAGTAGTGAAAATGAATGTTTTTTTGCTAATATATTATTATTAATATATTATTTGTATTATTTTATTATTTACATATTAATATGTTATATTGTTTATATTATATTAATATATAATTATTATATATAATTATAATATATGTTATTTCCTATTATAAAAGTTTTGATTAGGGAGAGAGGTGAAGGGCAGCGTTTCACATACTGAATCCACAGTTTGTTGAAGGGGAAAATTGAGGCTAGTGATTGGGTTTTGTTTTTGGTGTGTGCAGAGAAATCGAGTCTCCTGTTTCAGCCTTATTCTAAGACTGTACGGTGACTGGGAGGATGGCAAGTGGGAGATGGGATTGGAAGAGTGGATTTAGCTGCACACTGGCTCCCCTCTGCCCTGCAACTCGCCCCCAGACCCTTTCCTCTGCCATGCTGCACTATTGGCCCTCTGTCCTGATTGTCCTCACCATCTTTGTTGTGGTCTTTGTTTTTCATCTTCCCTTCCCCTCCTCCCCTTTCTTTCTCAGAACAGATAAGTTAGCAGAAAACCAGAGTGGTATAGTTATGTAAGCTACTTAATATATATTTATATATATATACATATATATATATATATATATTTAAAATATTTTATTTATTTATTTATTTGCCAGATCACAAGTAGGCAGAGAGAGAGGGGGAAGCAAGCTCCCCGCTGAGCTGAGAGCCCGATGCGGGGCTCGATCCCAGGACACTGGGATCATGACCTGAGCTAAAAGAGGCTTTAATCCACTGAGCCACCCAGGCACCCCTATTTATATATATTTTTAAAGATTTTATTTATTTATTTGATAGAAAGAGAGGGAACACAAGCAAGGGCAGAGGGAGAGGGAGAGGGAGAAGCAGGCTTCCCACTGACCAGGGAGCCCGATGCAGGGCTCGATCCCAGGACGCTGGGATCGTGACCCTAGCCAAAGGTAGACACTTAACAACTGAACCACCCAGGTGTCCCTTAATATTTAAGTTTTTCTTTCCCTTGCTCACAAACATTTAAAGATGTTTAAATAAACTTCTCTCTTGCGGTTAACCAGCAAGAGACCCTGTTTTAAATTGTAATATTTGAGACCCTTTTTTAAATTGTAGTATTAAGTCTGAGTATTAAGGCAGTATTAAGTATTAAGGCAGAGAATGGAGATGAATACATCCAGATATAAATAGAGAAGTTAAGCAACTGATACTCTGTGTTTCTATTTAATTTTTCAGCTATTGAGATATGTTTATTTGGAAGTTGATATACATTTTTTAAAAATATTTATTTATTTATTTTGGTGGGGGCTGGGGGCAAGGGGAAAGGGAGAGAAAAAATCGCCAGCAGACTCCATGCTAAACGTGGATCTGGACACTGGGCTCCATCTCACGACCCTGAGATAATGACCTGAGCTTAAACCAAGAGTTGGACGCTCAACCAAGTGAGCCACACAAGTGCCTATACATATGTATGTATTTTTATGAAGAGTTCTAGTAGCTTTGCTTCTGTATAAAGTCATCATACGTAAACACTTTTCAAAGAAAAAATAATTTTGTATAATGATTCTTTAAAAATTAATCACATACTTATTTGCAGGTACATGAAATCTCGCTTAACCTATTGTCAAATTAATGATGTTATTAAAGAAATCAACAAGGCAGTGGTTAGTAAATACAAGATCCTACATCAACCAAAAAAGTCCATGAGTTCCGTGGCCAGAAATCTCTACCACAGATTTATTGACGAAGAAACAAAAGATACCAAAGGTAAAAATGATAGCTTATATATGTGTGCATGTTTGGAGTGCAGCTAAATCGTGAGAAACAAGGTGAATTCTAGAAAACTCTGAATCTAGAGAGGTAGTTCTCAACCAGGAGTGGTTTTCCCAGTAGGGCACTTTTTCTCCATTGCTGGAGATAATTCAGGTTGTTACAGCTAGGGCTGGGCTGCCACTGGCGTCCGGAGACTAAAAACACAGTTGAGTACAGTGCACAAGACCACTGTCACGGAAAGAAATACCTAGCTCCAGGTGTCTCCAGTTCCGAGGCGGAGAAACACTACTTTAGAGTCTATTATAAAGCTCTACCCAGTGTTTTCAGAATTGGAGTAGTAATGAAAACACTTACCACGTGCCAGATAGTGTACTGAGAGCTCTAGTCCTCACATCTTACGAGCTATGTGCAGTTACCCCATTTTGCAGATGAGGCAGAGAAAGCGTCCCGTTCTTGTCCGAGGTCAGCCAGTTAAGGGATGGAGTTGCCAGTGATTTCATTCTCTTAACCACTATCCCATATTTCTTCTTGAAAAGTCAGTTGTTCAGAAGATAATCAGCAGACAGCTAGTAATACAATAAGCAGGGCTACATTTCTAGAATGCTTCGCTAAACATCACGCAACTTCAGGTGAGAGAATACTGATAATTTCAGCGAGGATACCTGTTCTCAACTTTGGGTGCCTAATGATAGTAAAAATGATCCATGTTATTCATGGTCACAATGTAATCCCTTTAAATCTCATCCTGAAAGTTGTCCTTACGAAAAGTAGTACTAATATCTTTCTTTTCAGGTCATTATTTCATAGTGGAAGCTGACATAAAGGAGTTCACAGCTTTGAAAGCTGACAAGCGGTTTCACGTGATACTGAATATCTTACGACACTGCCGGAGGCTCTCAGAGGTCCGCGGGGGAGGCCTTACCCGATATGTCATAACTTGAAGCCTGTGTGATCTTTTGAACTGGCCAAATATGGGGTGTAGGCCACTCCCGTGGTTTCCTTATATGTAATTTCTTTATAAATGATTTCTTTGGCTTTTTCATTTTCTTTTCTAGCTTCCTATAAAAACAAAAATTTTTAGGAGGTAAAGCATATATATTTTAAAATTCACTTTCTTTCAGAACGTATTTAACCCCCTACCAGATGAACCTCTGTGCTAGGCATATAATGGAACTAAAAAATATTCATGGTTAATTTTTGTGTTTAGTGACAGTGCTGTAGACCTCAATAAGATAGATGCACATGTGATAATGGAAGAAAAAGTTCAAGAAGATAAGGTCAAAGGTACCCAGGCTTGCTTTCTCTTTTTCTTTTTTTAAAGTAGGCTCCACACCCAGCATGGAGCTCAGTGCAAGGCTTGAACTCACAACTCTGAGATCAAGACCTGAGCTGAGACCAAGAGTCAGATACTTAACCAACTAAGCCACTCAGGTGCTTCAGTGATACCCAGGCTCTTTAGAATTAAAGGTTGTTAATGTCAAATTTCTAACAATGGCATTTTTCAGTCTACAGGCGAAGTTGGATTTATAGGCAGCCCCCCTCCATGTGATGATTCTGCTTTCCCATGTGTTGTTAGGGAATAGCTTACCTGAAATGCATTTGGTATAGACCAATCCACAAACATCAACTATAAAGAAATTGTAATAAAAATATACTGAGATGAAAACGATGATAAAATAACACGTAAGCGGTTTGATAGTTGTCGTGGAAAATGGGTGGTTGGATTGCAAGAATTGCGGATGTTTCTCTTGTGCACTTATGGAGACTGGCTATGTGTGTTTTAGTCAGTGTTCTCCAGAGATACAGAACCAATAGGAGATATATATATGGAGAGAGAGAGAGAGAGAGATTATGACAAATCGGTTGAGAAGTCCCTCGATCTGCCGTCTGCCAGCTGGAGACTGAGGAAAGCCGTGTGTAACTCAGTCCCAAGTCCGAAGGCCTGAGAAGCAGAGAAAATGAGATGTGGCTCCAGCAGTGAGGCGGGAAAAAGAAGTGAATTCCTCCTCCTTCCACCTTTTCTTGTATTCGGGTCGTGCACAGATTGGATGATGCCCACACACACTGGGGAGGGCAGACTATCGAGTCCACAGATTCAAATGCTCATCCCTTCTGGAAACGCCCCCGCAGAGGCATCCAGAAACAAGGTTTAGTGTGGGCACCCTGTGGCCAGTCCAGGTGACACATAAAGTGAACTCTCATAGTCTCTGTGCCATCTGCTGCGTAGATGGATCCTTGTAGCCCAGTGAAAAATCATCTAGGCCTGGTGGCCTGGTTAATACACTCCCTGTGAGGACCACAGAGTTTATTATAGGCACTACTTACTGTCATCCCTTCTTCCTCCCTAATTTAAATGGAGATGTGTTTAATCTTTCATGTTTTGCTTTAAATAAAAATAATGGCATTATTCTTTAAGTTTTACTTGATTTCTCTCTATATATTGTTATTTTCTATAAAAGACCATTTTATCTGCTTGAAATATTCTTGAAACTCATAGTGAACAACTGTCCATAAATGTGTCTAACTCTCGTAGAATGGATACTGAGGAAAGCAATTAGTTTCTATTTTAATCATTAGCACATAATCAGTTTGTTACATTAATTTGGGCATACATTGGTAGACTTGTATTCATCAAAGAATAATATAGACATTAATTTTCAAACAAGAACTAATCTCTTGGGATGCCTGGGTGGCTCAGTCATTGGACGTCTGCCTTCGGCTCAGGTCATGATCTCAGGGTTCTGGGATCGAGCCCCAAATCTGGCTCCCTGCTCAGCAGGGAGTCTGCTTCTCCCTCTCCAACTCCCCATGCTTGTGTTCCTGCTCTCGCTGTCTCTCTCTGTCAAATAAATAAATAAAATCTTTAGAAAAAAAAAATTAATCTCTGTTACATGAACTTTATTTTCAAGCCAATAACAGGGTTGTTCTACTTCCTCATTTTTGTAAATGACACCTTTAAAGATCTATGTTTGGATGCATCTCGCGGTCCTGGGGCTCTGCCCTCAGGTGTACCCCTCGCCCTTCGCTCTCCAGCTTCTCTACAGTAGCTGGCAGCCTTAAGCCCCCTTCCTCGGCGGTCCATGGTCCCCACGGCATGGCTCTCTCCATAACTTTGGGAGAACTGCCCCTTCTGCCGCAGGTCTCTGCTGCAGGTCCTGAAGCCTGGCAGGGATGGATTCTGGCTGGCTGTCACCAGCTGGGTGCCACTAAGCCTGAGGCCTGGCTTCACATCTTGTCCTACCAGCCTGTGGGCCCTGGGAGGGAGAGGGCTGGGTGCAGATACCCAGAGCCTTGCTCAGGCTTCTAGACTTGAGATACTAATTTTTTTTTTTTAAGATTTTATTTATTCATTTGACAGACAGAGATCACAAGTAGGCGGAGAGGCAGGCAGAGAGAGAGGGGGAAGCAGGCTCTCCGCTGAGCAGAGAGCCCGATGCGGGGCTCGATCCCAGGACCCCGGGATCATGACCTGAGCCGAAGGCAGAGGCTTTAACCCACTGAGCCACCCAGGTGCTCCGAGATACTAATTTTTATGTGTAAAGTCTTTCATCTGTTCTTTGAAGGTTCAATAACAGAAAAAAAAAAAAATGGGGGGGGGATCATGTTCTAGCTTTAAAAAGGCTTAAGAGTCTAACCAAATATAAACCATGAAACTTGAGGCACGTGGATGGCTCAGTTGTTCGAGTAACCGACTTGATTTCGGCTCAGGTCATGATCTCAGGGTCACGGGATCAGGCCCTGCTTTGGGCTCCCCGCTCAGTGGGGAGTCTGCTTCAGGTTCTCTCTCTTCTTCTACCCCTCCCCCCACTAGTGCATGCTCTCTCCAATAAAACCTTTTTAAAAACGATTTTTTATTTAAGAGAGAGCGAGAACACAAGGTTGAGGGGAGAAGCGGACTCATTGTAGTTTTGATTTGCATTTCCCTGATGACTAGTGATGAGCATTTTTTCATGTGTCTGGAGACATGAGTTTCTTGAATGATGCTGGATGTAAATATTGTTATGTTTGCACACAAAGCGATGTATTTGGCATCTTAAATGTGGATAAATGATATATGTGTGTAAGCTTGGTATCTGAAAAATGTGTTACTTTTAATTAACCCTGTTTTCAAATATTGGGCAGGAAACACCCTCTACAGGTGATCAATGGGGATAGACTTTCATTTCTTTTTTTTTTTTTTTTTAAGATTTTCTAATTTATTCATTTGAGGCAAAGAAAGAGAGCGAGCATGAGCAGGGGAAAGAGGCAGAGAGAGAAGCAAACTCCTCACTGAGCCAGGAGCCCGACTGAGGGCTCGATCCCAGAACCCTGGGATCATGACTGGAGCTGAAGGCAGACACTTAACTAAGCCACCTACGCGCCACCAGATTCTCATTTCTAAAGCAGGTTTAACTTAATTATTATGAGCCCACTTGCTGCCTTTTCTTTTTAACAACTGTAGTGCAATTTCAGACTAATACTTTTTTTTTCCCCAAAGATTTTATTTATTTATTTGACAGACAGAGATCACAAGTAGGCAGAGAAGCAGACAGATAGAGAGAGGTGGAAGCAGGCTCCCTGCAGAGCACAGAGCCCGATGTGGGGCTCGATCCCAGGACACTAGGACCATGACCTGAGCCGAAGGCAGAGGCTTTAACCCACTGAGCCACCCAGGTGCCCCCAGACTAATACTTTAAGTCTAGGGTCAATGCAGCAACTCAAAAAGTGCAGGTAATTAAAATTTTCTTCTTTCTGATGGGTCAACATGACAAATGCCAGCTATTTCTAATTATAAACATTTTCTTTCTAGAATGATTGTGGGCTGTGCATCAGCTGCATGTGAAAACTTACAACTCCAATCCTTATTTTGACTCAGAAATCCAATTATCTCCTGGGAATAATTTCTTTGACTCTAAAAGAACAATCCAGCAACACGGTGCATTAAAAACCAGAGCATCAGAAATCTGGGTTCTAGTTCTCCCTCTGCCATTTACTCCCTTTTGGTTCTACCTTCAAAACTTTGGCCCCTTCTCCCAAGTTCCATATCAACTACCCTGGTCCCAAAGAGCATCCTCTCTCCCCTGGATTAATTCAGTTTCCTAACTGGTCTCTGTGTTTGCTGTTGCCTCCCTACTGTCTATTCTCCAATGAACCAAACTTAAAGGAGGTCACTCTCCCGCTCAAAAATCTTCAGTAGCTCTGCATTTCTTAGACAATAAGAGCCCAGTCCTTATAAAGGCCTGGAAAGCTCTTCATGCCTCCCTCCTCCTGCTGCTCTATTTCCCACGTCAGCTCCGGCAGCTCCTACCTCCATCCTGTTTCTGGAACAGGCCAAGTAGGCGTCTCCCTCAGGCCTCTGCATGGACTGTTGCCTCTGCCCAGAAAGCTCCTCATCCTTAACCCCTACAAACCCCCTCCTTCCCTCCCTTAATCTGCTCTGATGTCATTTGATTATTGAGGCCTTTTCAGACCTCTATGTATCTAAAATTAGAGCTCCAAAAAATAAAATAAAATAAAATTAGAGCTCCCTTCTGCAACACCTCCCCTTCCCTGCTTTATTCTCCTTCATAGCACGTATGTGTATCTGACGGTCTATGTATGTTAGCAATTTTTTTTGTCTTTCTCTCCCTACTAGAATATTAACTCCTGAGGCCAGGAGTTTTTGTCCCCTTTTATTTCCTGCTGAGCCCCCAGGCAATGTAGCAGGCCTCAACAGTAGAGGGCGCTAAAGAAATACTTCTGAATGCACATTCAGTACACCAGTCTGTGGCCTGGGCAAGGGATTTCACCTTCTCCGGCCTCCATTTCTTCCTGAATATAGCAACATAGTTGAAAAAAATTTCTCTCAGGACCTTCGAGTTTCAATAATATATGATTCTAATATCCTCAGTTACTTCTGGGAAATACTCAGTTGAGGTTAAGGGCAATTCTGAGTGGATGATAAAAAAATTATAAAAAAATATTTGCTGATAATTACACGGAAATCTCATCTTAAGGAAAGAATTTGTGGAACTATTAAGCATCAAGAAATAATGAAGTTCTAAGTTATTAGTTGAGTAACAAAAAGGTTTTTTAAAAAATTATTTAATTATTCGAGAGAGAGAGAGCATGAGAGAGAGCGAGAGCACAAGTAGGGGGGAGGGGTAGAGAGAGAAGCAGATTCCCCTTTGAACAGGGAGCCCGATGTGGGGCTCCATCCCGGGACCCTGGGATTATGACCTGAGCTGAAGGCAGGCTCCTAACCCACTGAGCCACCTGGGTTCCCAAAAGAAGTTTTCACTGACTAAAAATCTTTATACATTTTTTTCAGCCCAAATCTTGTTTCTAATTTATTTT